AGGCAAGTCGCTGCTTTCTGCTCTAGTTCCTTGCAGGAATCCAGCGGTGGTGGCCGATGTCACACCCCACCCCACGCCTGTGCCCGAACCTGGGCTGGACATAGGCAAGGCCAAAGCCCTGACATTGACAACATTTCCAAAGAACTTGAGCCATTCACTATCTGGAGAAGTGGGCACCAAGCCAGCTGAGCTTGGGGAGTTCCTGTTCTGGCCCATTATTTCCAACAGTTGTGGCCTTACAGCCTTAGTTCTCAGTCCAAAGGGTTAACAACAGCTACCTTAGCTGCTCCAGGGCCTACTTCCGGCTCCGGCCCCGGCCCCAAAGTGCCGCCGACCCTGTGCTTGGGCCTTCCAGCCCCCCATGGTGTGTAAAAGGACAGGGCTGGACATTCAAGGTAGCTGTCAGTGAGTTTGCACAGGGGTTGCTGCCTCACCAAAGGTCCATGGGGCCTGGGCTGCAGCTCGTCGCTCCTCATGATGTGGATGGGGTTAGGCTGCACGTTGCCCTTTGGTTTCCTCATATTTAAAATAAGGGTGGCCAAGGGCAACAGGAGCGGTCAGGAGAGCATCCTTCTTCCTCAGTCTGATAGCACAGTCTCTTCCTTCCTTTTGATCATACTCAAAACAACTGCAATAGAACAATAAGTCTGGGAGGAGGCCAGAGGGGGATTTATTATGCTGTTGTGCTGTGGCACAGCCTTGCCTGACTTTATCTTGCACTGAGGTCTGCATGGGAGGAAATCTGCAGGCCTGTGGATTGTCTCTCTGAAACTGAACTCCCTCTAACCTGAAATCTGGGAGGGCAGGGGAGACGCTGCCATGCTGGCCACACCCCAGCATGAACCATGGCAAGAAGGAAACCAACCCAGATCTCCCAAAACTCTGAAAACATGACTGTGAGAGGCACGGGGACCCCCAACAGTCAGAGCCCACCTGGGTTTAGCCCTATAAGAGGGGACTCCAGAAACAGAGTTTGCCCCAGGACAGGAGCTCATCAGAGCTTTTCTTAATAGCCAGTGTCCTCTCTTCCCATTCCAGCAGGAGAGGAAGTTGTGTGGGGAGGTGCCCTCTGTTTGTGGCAAAGCAGGGAAAGCTCAGCAGTGGACTGTCAGCTTCTCACACCAGAGAGACCATGTGGCAGGGGGTTCTCCTCTTTTCCCGACAGGGCTGAGAGCCAAGAAAGGACCTCAGAGCCCTGGAGCTGAGAGAAAGTTGATTCGTCCCAGTTTTGACTTTATCTCCCCCTCAATGCAAATGTTTTGACATCCATCTGCTGGTAGCAGGACCCACCAGGTCATCTCAGCAACCTTCATCTCAATCAACCCATCACTCCAACCCTCACTGACAAAGAAACTCTAATGCCAGTGCTGCTATTAAAAGACATACATAAATAAATACATCCTTTCTCATCCGACAGCTGGGTGCTACAGGATGTGCCCGACTACCTCTTTGGGGCTTGAGCCTTTTGTAATGCTGTGGCTCAAGCACAGGCAAACCTGGGGTCAAGGTCTGGCTCCACCAGCATTTGCTAAATGACCTTGAGCAGATTACATGACCTCCCAGAGCCTCAGTTTCCTCATCTGTAAGATGGGGATGAGAATAGCAACCACATAGGATTGTTTTGAGGATTATATGAGATAATGTATGTGACTTATCTAACACATGTTAAGCATTCTATAGAGCGCAGTCATTATTATTGCCACTATTTCAAATAGATGTGAGGATCTGATAAAACCTCCCTGGTCCTTAGTAGTGTCCTCAGGTGAACCATGAGCCCCAATCTCTGCCATGAGAAGTTAACGTATGAGGAACGCAAGAGGAAAGAGACTCCACAGCACAATGTTTAGGAAAGTTCACCTCAGACCCCAGCAGCAAGTCCAGGGGCTGAACTCAGTTTTCTAGACAACCACATTCTCTCTCTCTCTCTCCAGTCATTTCATCTCTCTGGACGACCCCACTGCATTAGTTTTCTAGGGCTGCAGCAACAAAGTGTCACGAACAGAGTGGCCTAAAACCACAGAAATGTATTCTCTACAGTCCTGGCAGCCAGAAGCCCCACATCAAGGTGTCTGCAGGGCCAGGCTCCCTCTGAAGGCTCTCAGGGAGACCTCTTCCTCGCCTCTTCCAGCTTCCAGTGGCTCCAGGTGTGCCTTGGCTTGGGGCTGCCTAACTCCAGTCTCTGCCTCCATGGTCACACTGCCCCCTCCTCCTTGTGACTTTCCCCCTCTGTGTCTCTTATCGGGACCCTTGTCATTAGATTTAGGACCCACCTGGGTAGTCCAGGATGATCTCATCGCAACATCCTTAATTACCTCTGCAAAGACCCTTTGTACAAATCAGGCCATATTTACATGTTCTAGGGGTAGGGACATGGACGTATCTCTTTTGGAGCCACCATTTAACCTACTGCATCCACTAACCCTGCAAAATATCTCATTGGATTGTGACTAAAAAGTCAGGATAAGACCTCTCATCTGGGTGGGTGAGGGGCTCACTCCTCTCCATGGTAACATCACTGCTTCTCTGCGTAGCCTCAAGGAGGGGTCATGATCCACCACCTTCACGGAAAAATCTAGCTCTTCATTCTTTACTCATTGGCAGGGAGTGAAAACAAGTTCTTTCCACTTAGTGAGAAACAGGCACCTACTGCATCCAATGGGGGACTCAAGTCTGTGCTGAGTCCCAGGGCTTCCTGTTCTTAGTTGGATATGTTGGGATTTCAAAACCCACTGTGGGCTGGGCGCGGTGGCTCACGCCTGTAATCCCAGCCCTTTGGGAGGCCGAGGCAGATGGATCATGAGGTCAGGAGATCGAGACCATCCTGGCTAACATGGTGAAACCCCGTCTCTACTAAAAATACAAAAAATTAGCTGGGCGTGGTGGCGGGCGCCTGTAGTCCCAGCTACTCGGGAGGCTGAGGCAGGAGAATGGCGTGAACCCAGGAGGCAGAGCTTGCAGTGAGCCAAGATCGCACCACTGCACTCCAGCCTGGGTGACAGATCAAGGCTCTGTTTTAAAAAAACAAAAAACAAAAAAAAACCCATTGTGCTCCTTAGGCTTATGAGTGCAAAAACTCACATGTGATGAGCCCCCTTCTGGCAAAGCCCATCAGAAACATCATTCTCTCAGTGCTCAAAACCTTCACCTTCTCCTCTTCTTGCCAACCTCCAGAGGCCCCACACTCACTGAAAAGGGGGCATAACTCCTCTCTTTTCTCAAAGGCCTCCTCTGGCCTCACTCTCTGACCCCTGTTGTCTATTTCCTCCTTCAGCCCCTTAGTCAACCATAAACATCCATGTCTCATAGGAAAGACATTGCCCAGGGGTTCCCAGTCCCCTGTCAGGAAGGCCTTTCCTCCAAAATTTGTGGACAGTTAAGCTATCAGACTGCAAGGGAAGACAGATCATAATACAATGTGTTTTTTGTTCTTCAATCAAATAATACTTGTATATAAATTTAGTATAGGTCTCAGCTCCTTCCAGGTGGCTTTAAGAAAAAAGCCAGTCTTATGCCCTTTCCCTCTGATGAGTCTAATTGCATGGGGCTCTGGTGGTGGCCCTGCTTTTTCCTTCAACAGTGTCTATGAATCACTTTGTGTTTGTAGGTTTCTTTTTAAAGGTGTTCCTCCTATTTCTGGCTCACAGATGTTGACAAGTAGCATGTGTAGAGTTCAGTCTGCACAAATCTGGGAGCTCTGAACACTAGATCATATATTCACAGAGTCCCCCACCACTGGAACCTGGCTAGGTGCAGGAAAGTCACCATAACCCTACAGTCCTGTGGAAAGGGTAGAGTAGTGGGGACTAACTGGAAAGAAGTGAAAATAAGACAAAGTAGCCAGTGGAATCTCCAGTCTGCCCCTTGCTTAGCTATGAAGAGTGCAGCAAGACGATGGGTGAAGCCCATTGCTTCTCTGAACGATCTTTCAGCTTGTCTGCTGAGGGTCCACTTTCTCTCCTTTCTCTGCCTGCATGTTTGTGCAAAATTTGTGTCTTCAAGTGGAGACTACGAGTTTTGTGTGCATGGAACAGAGCCCTCTAGAAGGGTCTTGTGCCACTTTAAAATGTGACTCCCAAAAAATCTGACCTGTGCTCCTATATTTGCTGATGGAAATACAAAATGGTTCAGCCATGTGGAGAACAGAATTGCAGTTCTTCAAAAAGTTAAACATAGAATCACCATATGACTAGTAAATCCACTCTTAGGTACATACCTTAAAAAAACTGAAAATAGGTATTCAAATAAATACATGTGTATGCAAGTTCATAGCAGCACAATATTCACAATAGTTGAAGGGTGGAACCAGCCCAAATGACCACTGATGGATGAATGAATGAGCAAAGTGCAGTATATCCTGACAATGGAGTATTATTCCGCCATAAAAAGGAATGAAGTACTGGTGCATGCTACACCATGGAGGAAGCTTGAAAACACACTAGTGAAAGAAGACAGACACAAAAGGTCACATACTATATGATTCCATTGATATGAAATATCCAGAATAGGTAAATCCATAGCGACACAGTAGGTTGGTGGGTTTCCAGGAGCTTGGAGGAGGGGAGATGGGAACGCTTGCATAGCGGTTATGGGTCTTGCTTTTGGGGTGATGAAAACATTTGGAAGTAGACAGAGATGCTGGTTGCACATCATGATATCTAGTTGCCACGGAATTGTTTACTTTAAAACGGTTAATTTCATCTTATATAAATTTCACCTCCATAAAAATGAAATGTTTTAGAAAGAGAAAGTTTGAAAAAAAAAAAACTGTGTGTTCCACGAACACAGCCCAACCCCTGCTCTCGTTCCCATTTCCCGTTCCCTTCCTGGTAGACCTGTGTGCCCATTGTCAGTGCCATGGTATCAAATCAGCTTGTGGTGCAGATTACTGTGAGCTTGTTCTTGATCCCACTTCTGAGACACATCCTCCAGAATTCCATGACTAAAGCTGAGTCTACACAGTAGCAACCAAATGTTTTACCAGACAACAATGGGTGTCTCACCACAAGACTCTTTCCCAATATTTTGTTTCTGTGGTGGTAAAGTGGATTTTTCTCAGCAAGATGAACAGGTTTGCACGTTTCTCTGTCTCTAGGAATTTCCACAGGCTGCAAGAAGAAAAAGAATACAAGTGTCAAGATACCTAGAAAAAGATGGAAGGCTTGCATAAAACCTACTGGGCTAAAACTGTTGTTTATTGAAGTTATGGGGAAAAAAGTTCATGTCCCCATTCTATTTGTTCCAACTTCATTTGAAGAGTTGAGAGAGAACCTGTAGTTTTGTGCTTCTAGAACAGAGAAGATTTGGAACTTCAAAGATAAAACTGCCCCTAGGGAGAACTGGGGACATGCAGATACCCTGCGTTAACCAGGGCAGAAAGTTGTAGTCTGTTGATGGAACTGTCATTCACTCAAGCACCTAAACCCTTGAAGTCATTCATGAGGGTGGAAATCAACTTCTTCCAAGCTCCTGTTAATGTTGATATTTTGACCTCCTCCTGTGACTCACGAATGTTCTTAATGGAATTCATTCATTCACTGCATATGGTCCTGCCATGTGCCAGAAGGCAATGGGCCAGGCCACTGGCTGGAGAAGACCCTGTCCCTGCCTTGCTGCATAAGCATCTCAGTGAAAAAGCCAGGCAGACACACCAGGAGCATCACAGCCATACGGCAAGTGCTCAGACAGAGGTATCAGGCCATGGGAGCACCAAGGAGTCACTGCCTCTGGGTCCTGTCAGAGTTGGGGACAGTGGAGTCCAGTGTTAAAGGAAGATGGTGACAGGAGACCAGCATTGCAGGCAAGTAAGCACCTCATCCACATTGGCCCAGAAGCATGGACACAGGTGGCATATCTGGGGAACACTGCTGCAGAGAGGAGATGAGGCTGTCAGGGAAAGTTGGGGCCAGGCTGGAAAGGGTCTTACATTTGACCCATTTTCTTCTGCTGACTTTTTCCTTTTCATAGGAACAACAGCCAAATATTTGTCATAAATCATTTTCCTTCATCCTGTCAGTAGCCCCCTTTTACCGATGAATACACTGAGGTTCAAAAAGGTTAAGTTTAATTCCAAAGAGGGATGCACATATCACCGGAACATATGAGAAACTGCTTGTCAATGACTGAGTGGTTACTGCTGGGGGAAGCCAGGATGGAAGGATGGGACCAAAAGGACAAAGGCGGCTTTAATTGCATCAGTAACATTTCATTTCTTAAGCTGGGTTTGGGTACACGGATGCTCTTTGTGCCCTTTGGTTTGTGTGAAATTTTCATAATGACTCTTAGAGCCACTGGACTTGTGTGTTAGGGCAGCATCTTGGCTTGAAAAGAGGCAGTGTCTGAGGCTGAGGGTCCCTTGAGAACACAGGGGCTGCCCTTCATATCCAAATGCTTGATGGGTTTTTCACTGTGGTTAAGGGGGTAAATCACTATTTATTCCACCTAGTCAAGGCCTCAGAGCTGACACTTCTACAGAAAAAGTAGGACAGACAGGTTTGGCCCTCCTGGTTCCCTTGGGCAGGAACTGAATGTTTCCCATCTAGGGGCATATGAGCAGAGAGGAAGGGGTCTGAGCCCCACAGTGTGTCCTCAGTTACTGCTTCTACGCGGCTTGGCTGCCCATGCTCCTAGTTCCTTTTCAAGTGCATTTCCCTTCGGGTTAACACTGTTTGCTTCCTCCGCTAGAGCATCCTGCCCCCTCCAGCGTAGCCCTGAGGAGACCCAGCCCCCTGCCTTCCTGGCATGCAGAGCTTAAAACAAGAGCTCTCTGCCATCGGACATCCTTACCATTTCCAGCTATTGAGTGTAATCAGGTGTGCCAGGATCTGATTTCAAAGCCGAAAGCAAAGGGGCTCGGAGGAATCCTCTCTCTCGATTGCGCCAGTGGAAGACAAAGGGGTCTGAACAAACAGGATGCGCTGAGAGCTATGGAGAGCACTCCCCAGCAAGTGGGGCGGGCAGGATGCAGGGTTGGAATAGTTGACCTGTAAGCCTGGGCGTTGGCATGTGAGGCAGTCATGCCCAAGAGAAGCAAGGCAGGGCATGAATAGATGCTGATTCATCTGACAGCCTCTCTGGATGGTTCCTGGGCCCAGGGAGTTATATCATCCCTGCCCGACTAGAAGATCCTGACTCTGGCCGTTCACCTTGCAGAGAATGCTGACATTTCTAGAAATCAGAGAAAACCCACCATGCCTTGTAGGGTGGATGAGTGGTACTCAGGAATCTACAAGCAAGTCAGAACTGATGAGTTGTGGAGGTGGAGAAGACCCACTGGTTGCACCTCAATGTCTGGGTCCTGATGGATCCACTTTTTTTCTGCCCTTGTTTCTATCTCTTACCCCATACTCTGCTTGCTAGGCTTGGGAACCTACATCTAGCAAACTCTCCCGATCATTAACTGGATAAACAGTTAAAAGCCATTCCAGAGAACACGACCCTTCTTGGGAGGCTATAGGCTGAGGGAAAATTTCAGTATTTCCTTTCTCCTTCCCATTGCCCCCATTTTTATATGGCAGGAATCAGAGATGAAAACAAATGTTGTAACAAACCCGACTTGCAGGCAAACAAAGATCATCAAAGGCAACAAGAATAGGAAGCAGCTTACAGTGGGAAGAACGCGCCCATCTGGACTGACCCCTCACTGATGGTGAAACTTAGTGGTGTTGCCCCAGTTCACCATCTTTCAGAGATAGCCTTGCTGGTGTTTTCAACCAGGGATGCTTGGAATATTGCCCAGGCACCTCTGGCTGTTACAGTGCCTCAGGGAGTACTCCTGACATTTTCTGGATGAGGCTGGAAGTACAAATGTCCTCCAGTACACAGGATAGTCATACAACTGAAGAACTACTCCCAACCTTTTGCTAATAGAGCAGCACTGGTGAAATTGGTCATTTCTGTGGTTTTTTTTGTTTTTTGTTTTGTTTTGTTTTTTTTAAGATGGAGTCTCACTCTGTCACCCAGGCTGGAGTGCAATGATGTGACCTCAGCTCACTACAACCTCCACCTCCCAGGTTCAAGGGATTCTCCTGCCTCAGTCTCCCAAGTAACTGGGAATACAGGCATGTGCCACCATGCCCAGATAATTTTTTTTTGTATTTTTAGTAGAGACGGGGTTTCACCATGTTGGCCAGGCTGGTCTCGAACTCCTGACCTCAAGTGATCCACCTGTCTGGGCTTCCCATAGTGTTGGGATTACAGGCGTGAGCCACCGCATCCAGTCAGAATTGGTCATTGCTGACACTCAGCTAAACCCCGAGCTCCTCTAACCTGGAGCCTTTGAACATGAAACCTATAGAGAGAGTCTCTGAAAAGAATCCAATGCTAAAGGCCACTGTTTGTTCTAGATGAAATAAAAAACACACAGAAAATGAAAACCCGCCTGACATCTATAGTTCATCAATTGCCTTTAAAGGCAACTCTTACACAAACTCAAAAGTTCCCAAGAGAAATTCTAACCTGGCATAAAGCATCGGGAGATTTATGGAGATGCTTTCTCCCAGAGCTAGAGTTCTGGGAACCGGAGACTCAAAGGCTGCCTCTTGGCTTCTATAAAATAGGTCTGGGACATACATTAGGTTGTTTTGTCCCTATACAGTGTAAATAGCTGGTGTGTGACACTTCAGCAATGGCTAAAAAATAAAATTCGAGCTAATCGTGGGTATATGGGAAGCACAACAAATGTGCAAGTTGCAAATGATTTCTATCTATGTAAAATGGCAACATAACTAGGGCTGTTCTTTAGTATGGCCAGGGTAGAAGCCGAGTATGAGGTCCTTGGGGGAATTCTAACTACATGAAATTGACTAACTAGGGCTGTTTTTTTCTTGGAGGGGCCAGGGAGACACCAGCAGATACCATCCAGATTTTTCTTAAAAGGAGAGACTTGATGAATCCATCATTCTACTCATAAGCAAATGCCTTTCACAAATAATTTGAATTCTAGAGAGATTTTGAGCACAAAGCTGCAATGTCTTTGAGAACTTGATTTATGATTCAAGATGAACTGCTGGTAACTCTGGGGTCATTCAGCCAGGGGAGATGGGAAGGGCAGACCCATTAATCAAAAGGTAGCAGGAGACCCCTCCAGGTGATCCAAATGCACAAAGGGAGGAAGTGAGTCCAGGTGGAGAAAGAGACCCCTCCCCTCATCTCTGGGGTTGCTGGGAGACAGCTCTGCTTCAGGGAAGCTCGGAGGGATGGTCTAATGTACATTCTCTCAAAGAATCAGAGAGGCTGCAGCTTGTCTGAGAAGAATTTAAATCCTGGCTCTGATACTCACGAGCTGTATGACATTAAGCAAGCTACCTAAATCTGAACCTTGGGCCCTTCCAAGATGGGAATAATGGTACCTGCCTCAGAGGGTTGTTAGGGAAATAAGCAGGCATTTACTGAGTACCTAATACATGCCAGGCTTGGTACGAGGTACTGGAGAGACAATGGTAGAAGGGTTGACAGTTTCATGAAATCACTTCTATAGCTCACTAGGCACAGACACTGCCTATCATTTGGTAGCTGCTCAACAAATGTTACTTCCCTTCCCCTTATAATCTGTACCACTGGGCACCTGCTATGTGCAAGCTATTGTGTAGGCCCTTGGACCTGACATCAAGTAGCATCAAGTAACTTCAAAACTGGTTTCACACATGAGAACAAATGTCAGCAGTTTTTGCACTTGCTCATGGAGAGATAGCAGGAGGGATTTTGAGCTCACAAATCCCTTTAGTTGTAGCAGTCCTTCTTTTACTGATGTTATATCCTGGACTCCTCAGAAAGATCCAACCTATTTATTCCAGGTCATTAATATACCTGACACTGCTCTAGGTGCTTAAGAAAAAACTCAATGAAGAAATCAAAGATGCCTGCCCTCCAGGGCTTATAGGGTAACAGAGAAGACACAGAACGAAGGGTAAACATTTTGAGCTATTGATTATTTATTACCTTGTATGGAGATAAGTGCTTTGGGAAAATATAAGAAGAGCAGGATGGGGGTAAGCAGAGTTGGCTGCAATTTTAAGTGGGTCAGTCTCACAGAGGTGATATTTTAGCAAAAATTTAAAGGTGAGGGAGCCATCCATTATATGAGGAAAGGAGGTGAGGGAGTCAGCTA